AACTCTCTTCCAAAAGAGGTTTCTTCTTTGTTGCAGGATTTTGAAGATGTTTTTCCCAAAGAAGTGCCTATAGGTCTACCCCCTCTAGGGGTATTGAGCACCAAATTGACCTTATTCCAGGGGCTTCATTGCCTAATAGACCAGCCTATCGAATCAATCCCCAAGAAACCAAGGAGATTCAAAAGCAAGTTGAAGACTTAATGCAAAAGGGGTGGGTTAAAGAAAGCTTGAGTCCATGTGCAGTCCCAGTCATTCTAGTCCCTAAGAAAGATGGAACTTGGAGGATGTGCACAAATTGTAGAGCTATCAATAACATCACGGTAAAGTATAAACATCCCATTCCTAGGTTAGATGACTTGTTGGATGAATTGTATGGTGCTTGTATCTTCTCTAAAATTGACTTGAAAAGTGGATATCATCAAATTAGAATTAGAGAAGGAGATGAGTGGAAAACATCTTTTAAAACTAAATATGGGTTGTATGAGTGGCTAGTTATGTCTTTTGAGTTAACTAATGCTCCAAGCATTTTTATGAGATTGATGAACCATGTCTTGAAAGAGTTTTTAGGCAAATGTGTAGTGGTGTATTTTGATGATATTCTGATATATATCACTATTTTTGATTTGCATGTTGAACATTTGCGTGCTGTCATGAATGTGCTTAGAAAGGAAAAAATATATGCTAATCTTGAAAAATGTACCTTTTGCACTGATCATGTTGTGTTCTTGGGATTTGTTGTGAGTTCTAAAGGGGTACAAGTTGATGAGGAAAAGATTAGAGCCATCCAAGAGTGGCCTACCCCTAAGAATGTTAGTGAAGTGAGAAGCTTTCATGGGTTAGCTAGTTTCTATAGGAGGTTTGTTAAAGATTTTAGTACTTTGGCTGCACCTCTTAATGAAATAGTCAAAAAGCATGTTGGGTTTAAATGGGGTGAAAAACAAGAAAAGACATTTTCTGAACTTAAGCACAAACTATCTAATGCCCCCATCCTTGCATTACCAAATTTTGCAAAATATTTTGAAATTGAATGTGATGCATCTAATGTGGGTATTGGGGTTGTTTTGCTACAAGAAGGTCATCCAATTGCTTATTTTAGTGAGAAGTTGAATGTGGGTGCCCTAAACTATCCCGCCTATGATAAAGAATTGTATGCCTTAGTGCGTGCTTTACAAACTTGGCAGCATTACCTTTTACCAAAAGAGTTTGTAATTCATAGTGATCATGAATCTTTGAAATACTTAAAGGGACAAGGTAAGTTAAACAAGAGGCATGTCAAATGGGTTGAGTTTTTGGAGCAATTTCCATATGTCATCAAGCATAAAAAGGGAAAAGGGAATGTAGTAGCTGATGCACTTTCTAGGAGACATGCATTACTTTCTATGTTTGAAACTAAATTGTTTGGTCTTGAATCTTTGAAAGACATGTATGTGAATGATGTGGATTTTACTGAAACTTTTACTGCATGTGAAATGTTTTCTAAAAATGGTTACTTTAGGCATAATGGATTCTTGTTTAAAGCAAATAAATTGTGTGTGTCTAAGTGTTCCATTAGAGAGTTGCTTGTGAGTGAATCACATGAAGGGGGTTTGATGAGTCATTTTGGGGTTCAAAAGACTTTAGAAATTTTGCAAGAGCATTTCTTTTGGCCTCATATGAAACGTGATGTGAATAAGTTTTGTGATCACTGCATTGTGTGTAAAAAGGCTAAATCTAAGGTTAAGCCTCATGGGTTGTATACTCCTTTACCTGTTCCTGAATATCCTTGGACTGACATTTCTATGGACTTTATTTTAGGGCTGCCTAAAACAAAGAATGGAAATGATTCTGTGTTTGTTGTTGTTGATAGGTTTTCTAAGATGGCACATTTCATACCTTGCAAGAAGGTAGATGATGCTTGTCATGTGGCTGATTTGTTTTTCAAGGAAGTAGTAAGGGTACATGGGCTGCCGAGGAGCATTGTGAGTGATAGGGATTCAAAATTCCTTAGTCACTTTTGGAGGACCTTGTGGGATAAGATTGGTACTAAATTATTGTTTTCTACTACTTGTCACCCACAAACTGATGGTCAAACTGAGGTAGTCAACAGGACTTTAGGCACATTGCTTAGGACTATTTTAAAGAAAAATCTTAAGACTTGGGAAGCATGTTTACCGCATGTTGAATTTGCTTATAATCGGGTTATCCATAGCACCACTAATTGTTCACCATTTGAGATTGTGTATGGATTTAATCCTTTGACTCCTCTTGATTTGTTGTCTTTGCCTAACATTTCTATGTTTAAGCATAAGGAAGCACATGCTAAAGCAGAATATGTGAAGAAGTTGCATGAGCAAGTAAAAGCTCAAATTGAAAAGAAGAATGAGAGCTACGCGAGGCAAGCTAACAAGGGTAGGAAAAAGGTGGTGTTCCAACTTGGTGATTGGGTTTGGGTACACATGAGAAAGGAAAGGTTTCCTGAACAAAGAAAGTCTAAACTTCAACCTAGAGGAGATGGGTCATTCCAAGTCTTAGAGAAGATCAATGATAATGCTTATAAGATTGATCTACCAGGAGAGTATAATGTAAGTTCTTCTTTTAATGTTGCTGACTTGACTCCTTTTGATGCAGGAGATGAATTCATAGATTTGAGGACAAATGCTACCCAAGAAGGAGAGAATGATGTGGACATAAAGGCCCAAGCCCATAACGAGAAGGATCAAGACCAAGATCCAATCCAAGACTTAGGTGGACCTATGACAAGAGGCAGGCTCAGAAAAACACAAGAGGCATTGCAATACAAAGTGACCAATTTGCTAAAGGCCCAAACATGGAGGAGTCTAGACCTATCACATACATAGAATGTTTGGAGAGCTAGGAGGCCCAACTAAAAGATTTAGTTTTTTTTATTATTATTATTTTATTTACTATAGTGGGGATTTGAACCCAAGACCCAAAGCTTTAATGCCTTCACTCGAACCATCCGGGTAACTTAACTTTGCTTGGGATATTAGGATTTTAATTTATCTTTATTTTCTGCAATGAGACAAACTCATAAACTTAAGTTGTATTAAACATTTGGGAATTCAGAATGAACGTATGTAATATTTAGAATCACTTTGTGAGTTGTTGCTCTGCTGGGGTTCTTCCTTGCATCACTTGATCTTATCAAGAATTATTCGATTCTTGTGGCGATCCTTCTTGGCTTATCAAATATTCTTATTTGTGGCGCCTACGGTATCCTTTATATTTTTTTCTGTTTTCTATTTCCAATCAAATCAACTCTTAAAACCTAACCCTAAATTGTTTCCCTTCTATTTGAGTGTCGTCACCAACTTTTTAACCTATGAGAACCTTTGTTTGTTCTTCTTCCATGGAAGTATTTCATCTGGTTCTCTCTTTCTAACTTGCTTAAGCTTCCTTGGTCCCTTTTGTATATTGGTGGTAATAACTTTGCATCATCTGATTTTGGCCACAATTATGGTATATTGATAAGGCTAATTGTATGCTCATATAACACAATTGATATAAAGTCTCTATAATAGTATTTATAAACGTAGTTGTCTAGTTTTCCTTTAATGAAGTTAATTGTCGATACAATGTTCTTACAAGGAATGTCATTTCATATAGATTACAGTTAAAAGTTTGTCCTTGTAAGGTAATCACAAAATAAATATGTTTGTCACCTCAAAAAAAAGTGGTCCATTTGATCATGTGATCAACTATTTTTTTTTCAACCTCTTTCTTCAGTCTTTTTAAAGGATTTGACATAATATTATCATTGTATTATTTTTTTCTTAAAATAAAGTGATTCTCCTCGTCAAATAAGTCTTTAGTCATTCAATCATGGCAATAATTAACTTGTTTCTAACTAAACTTAATGTGCTATTAAATAATTTATTAAGGTTATTAATCACCGCGTCATATTTTGCTAACTAAATATATACTTACACCATATAGTGCTATTCAAATTTCACAATCACTAATATGTATTCATATTGATTTTCTTCATTTTATTTATTTTAACATGCCAATTAACCCATCTCCCATCATAATATCTTTTATCAAGTTGCTTTGTTTAACCCTTCTCTTGAAATTGTTATATAAATGTTTTATACAAATTTTATAACTATTCTAGCCATATATTTGGTTGAGAAGGGAAAAAACCCTTACAACATAGTCATTTTCAATTAGTCGTATGTAAATATGTATAAAAAAGAAAATTAAATTAGTATTTAGATGGCAAATCTTACCTTTTATTAATGACATAATAATTCATTTGATTTTCACTAGACAACAAAAAATCAATATAATGTATTTTTACTCTCTATGTCCACAGTAGCATATCTCTGCAGATGGTTACCATCGACCTCCATATTTTGTTTTTAAATGACAATCATAACCTTCAAGACAGTTGAAAAATTACTTTACACCCATCTAATATAAACATACATTCTATTAAATCTAAGGCGTAAATTTGGTGCGAGTCATTGGCAACTTAACATTGCTTCTTTTACAATTTTTTTTCTGAATTCATTAATATATCACCACAATTTTTTAGTATTATTAGTCACCATCTCCTTCGATCACAGTCAACAACCTTTCTTTCTTTAAAAAGAAAAAATGTTGTAATTCTCACAATAAATTTATTTTTAATGTCTTCGATATCTTCATATATTTTTTTTTTAACTTATCAGCAATGTGTTTGGTTATAAACTTTGATTTACCACTTTTTTTCCATAATATTCTTGCTTGCATACAAATATTTATTTTAACTGTGTTACCTTTCCAAACCTTGACTAGGTAAAGTTACTTTTTTTTTAGATTTTATAATTTTTTGAATATTAGAGATTAAAAAAATATTTACACTAAGTAAAAACATAATTAAAAATAGGGATACAGAAATTGCGAAATTAAAAAAGACGTTTACTTCAGTTGTTCCGCTTTAGCGTTTGGAGGACCAAACCAGTCTTCAACTTCTCGCGCACACTTATCACCTCGTAAGTTACAGTCCCTCTCATTTCATGGCGCAAAAGCGTTTCAAATTCAATGGTAACCTCACAGCTCTCACCTGCATCCACATTTTATTCTTTATTTTTTTCCTATTTTTATCTTCCTTTTTTTTACCATCTCACCAAACAGAGACCACACACAAAAATTCCAACATTATTTTCACTATTTGATTATATGTCCGTCAGAGGATGTTCTCGAGCAGCTGAGAAATGGGACTGCGAAGTTCGAGCTTGTTTCTTCCCCGGTTCCTTCAGTTGCTCCTCCTCCTCCTAAGAACAACGCAAGCTTGTTTGGAATTGGGAACCACAGCACTCTCTTTTTCGCTAGAATTGGCTCATCCTTGTGAGTTTTCCGTTTCCCCTTTCGGTTCGTCTTTTTCTTGTGCGTCTATTTGTTATTTTAAAAAAAATTTAACGCTGAAATATGTTTTTAATGTATCTACGTGGCATTCATTTTCAATTCAGTCAGTTCTTATATGAGAAGAAAATGTTATTTTGTTCCTATACTTACTATCATTTTTAATTTAATTATCTCTGTTTATTGTCGTTATATATAGTAGTCAATGAAGTGTATAGGAGGATGTTGTTAGGTATCAGACTACTTGCACAAGAACTCAACTAAAATAAAGAAGAGAAAAATTGAATAGCAATAATAGACAAAAGTGAAAATTTTATAATAGAAAGAAAAATTAGATACCCCTTCTCTAGTCCTAAGAATGACAACACTTTCTAATACTTAGAGAAGGAAAGAAATTTTGGGATGTTGAAATAAGGAGGGAGGGGTTCCTTTTATAAGAAGGAGGAGAGCCCCCCAATTGAAGTTCCCACCGATGTGGGACTTCTTTCTTCACAATCTCCCACTTGAAGATTTTGATGAAATTAATCAAATCTTCACAATATGTCTTCTTCTCTCACATTCATGTTGCTTATGTTTTCGATAGGCCATAGAGGGATCGACTCCGTATAAACTTGTCAGCATTAACCGGCTTTGTCATTACATCTGCTAGGTTCTTCTCAGTGTGGATCTTCTGTAAATCTACACTTCCTTCTTCTACTACTTCTCGAACAAAATGATATCTTATTCCTATGTGTTTTGTCCTCGAATGAAAGACTGGATTTCTTGCAATGTGTAAGACACTTTGACTATCACAAGACACAACAATTTGTTGTTGCTTGTGACCAAGTTCCCCCATTATTCTTTTAATCCGGATAGCTTCTTTACATGCTTGGGTGACAACCATGTATTCAGCTTCCGTAGTAGATAGAGCTACCACATCTTGTAACTTGGATAACCAACTTACTCGCCCCTCCATTGATGGTAAACACATAACCAGTAGTAGACTTCCTTTTATCCAGATCACCCGCAAAATCCGAATCAACATAGCCTCTAACAATCGCTTCGATCCTCCATAACATAATGCAACATTTGAGGTTCCTTTTATATACCTAAGGATCCTCTTCACATTTTGCCAATGCTCTCCACTAGGATTCCCCATGAATCTACTAACCACTCCCACTCGCTTGTGCAATGTCCGGTCTTGTACAAATCATGGCATACATAAGACTTCCCACCGCCGATGCATACGGTACTCGAGACATTTCAATCCTCTCCGCTTCACTCGCTAGGACTCATACTTGAGGATAACTTACAGCTGACATGAAGTGGGGTAGAAATTGGCTTGCAATCTTGCATGTTGAAGCGCCGCAAGATCTTAAGTAAATAATTCTTTTGAGAAAGCCAAATCTTCCTATCTTTTCTGTCTCGGTGAATTTGCATCCCTAAAATCTTGTTTGCTGGTCCCAAGTCCTTCATATCAAACTCCCTAGCCAATTGTGCCTTCAATTCTTGGATTCGAGCTTTGTTAGGGCCTACCACCAACATGTCATCCACATACAACAACAATATGATGAAATCATTTTCTTCAAACCTATTGTGGTAAGTACAATGGTCCGAACTTAGTCCGTAGTATCCGAGGCTAATAATGAAGGAATCAAATCTCTTATACCAACACCTTGGCGCTCGCTTTAGACCGTATAGAGATTTGTTCAACCTGCAAACCAAGTTTTCTTGCTCTTTGAAGCCTTCTGGTTGGAGCATATATATTTCCTCTTCAAGTTCTCCATGAAGAAAAGCAGCTTTTACATCCAATTGCTCAAGATGTAAATCAAATGCAGCACACATCGCCAGGACAATTTCGATTGTTGTCAATCTAACAATTGGTGAGAATATCTCGTTGAAATCAATGCCTTCTTTCTCGAGCATATCCTTTTACCACCAGTCTAGCACGATATCTTTCCACTTGATCATTGGCATCTCTCTTGATCTTATAGACCCATTTGCAACCAATGGCTCGCGACCTTTTGGAAGTTCCACAAGATGCCATGTCTTGTTTTTATAAAGAGCTTCAATTTCTTCTTCCATAGCAGCCATCCATAGAGGAGTTTCTAAACCACTCACTGCCTCTTGAAAAGTTGAAGGTTCTCCTTCTTCACTTAGGAGACAATACGCATCATGACTTGCCATCACATATTGTGAATGCCAAGATGGTCCGACTCTTTCTCTTGTTGATCGTCTGAGTTCTCCTTCTTCCACCTCATTTGGTTCATGTTCTTCATGCTCCTCCTCCGACTCGTAGGAATGTTCCGAAGTCTTCTTCTCTATCTCGTACTATAGTCTTGTCCTTTTCCGAGCCGTCATTTATCCGCTTGCTTTGCAGCTCATTTTCTCGCAAAGACGACATCTCTCGCTAACAATAACTTTGTGGGCAAGTGGGATCCCACAAGCGATACCCCTTCACATTGTCAGCATATCCCAAGAAGATGCATTTCCCGGATTTTGGATCCAACTTCGTCCTTTCTTGGGTGTTGTACATCACGTACGCGGACAACCGAACACATGTAAGGAAGAATAATCCGTTGATTTTCCACTCCACATTTCCATAGGAGTTTTCAACCCAATTGCTCGTTGATGGAAACCGATTTATCAAGTAACAGTGCAATATTCACGGCTTTCGCCCAAAAAGACTTTGTTATGCCTGCAGCTTGCAAGCATAGCTCTGGTTCTCTCTAGAAGAGTTCTATTCATCCGCTCCGCTACACCATTCTGCTGAGGCGTGTGTGGAACAGAAAATTGTCTCACAATTCCTTCTTGCTTGCAGAATGCTAGAAAATCTCCATCTACATATTCTCCTCCATTGTCTGTCCTCAAACACTTGATTCTCCTTCCGGTCTCAAGTTCTACTTGTGCTTTGAAGTCTTTGAACCGCGCAAATACTTCAGACTTCTTCTTGATAGGGTATACCCATAATCTCCTCGAGTAGTCATCGATGAACGACACAAAATATTTTGCTCCTCCAAGAGATAATTCCGGCGATTCCCGGTACATCGAATGGATCAAGTAACTCCGTGTTGTTTGCTTGTCACACAATGCTCACGTAAGGGTAAATCGACCTTCTTGAGCCCAGTGTATGAGATCACGTTCCGCAAGAATCTGCAGACCTCGCTCCGACATATGTCCAAGTCTACGGTGCCACGTTACCGCCGCTTCTTCTTGGCTTGTTGACGCAGTTGTTGCATGATTTTCTTGCAAGGTGTCTCCCATAAGCACATACAAGTTTGCCATGATTTTCTCTGCTTTCATGACAACTATGTTTCCCCTCACTGCCTTTAAGATTCCTCCTTCAACATGGATCTTGCAGCCGAGGTCATCCAATTGCCCTATAGACAATATATTTTTCTTCAAGTCCTTCACATGTCGTACTTCTTGGATTGTACGAATAGTACCGTCATACATTTTTAATTTGACAGTACCAACTCCAAGAATCTCTAATGCATGGTCATTTCCCATGAACACGGATCCACCCGAGATAGGCTCGTAGGTTTGAAACCAATCTCGGTGTGGGGTCATGTGCCAAGTTGCACCCGAATCCATTATCCACTTGTCATGAAATTCGTTTCCGCCATTAGAGCCGATTGTCGCTTCGCTACTGTAATTACTCCTTCCTCTCGAAGTACTCGCAACGCAACCTTCCGCCATTGAGAGCCGATTGTCGCTTCGCTACCGAATTACTCCTTCCTCCGAAGTACTCGCAACGTAACCCCGTGAGGTTGATTCTTCATTCTTCCTCTTCCAACACTCTTTCTTCGTGTGCCCTTTCTTGCCACAAGTAGTAGCATTTAAATTTGAAAGTCTTCTTGTTTCGAGAGCTCGATCTCGCCATGATCTTGACTCCCACTTGAGCCATGTTCCATTGATCTTCCTCTCATCATCGTCAAAACTTCTGCTTGTTTAGAACTTTCTACCTTATTCATTCGCCTAGATTCTTCTTCTAGAATAGCTCCGACAACATCGTCAAAGTGTAGTTGTCCTTCAATATTATTATTTGTAATGTTGATGATGAGTTGATCATACGAGTCCGGCAAGCTCAAGTAAAAGCTCGCACGCTCATTCTCAATTATGTTGAAATTTGTCGCCGCTAATTGGGCAAACAAGGTGTTCAGTTGGTTGATGTGGTCCGTCACCGATGTGGACTCACTCATCCGAAGAGTATAGAGTTTCCTCTTCAGGAATATCCTTGTGTGAAGTGACTTCACCTCATATAATTTAATGAGGGCATCTCAAATCTCCTTTGCGTAATCTTTCTCCGCAACACCTGGATAGAACCGAGTCTCGCCATTGCCAAGTGTAAATTTGCAATAGCGTTGTCGTCAATTTCCTTCCACTTCGATCCGTCATTTCGCGGGTCTTCCTTCAATTGCATCAAGACAATTGTCCTTTCTCAAAATTGCTTTCATCTTCAATTTCCATAACGAGAAATTGTTCCCGTTAAACTTCTCTATCTCATACTTTGTCGTCATGGTTGTGTTTCCACTTATGCAACTCTCACTTATGAATAGTATTGTCTATCGGAACAATAGTAGTAGACCGTGAACCAATACACTAGGTAAGTTCCCGAGAAAGAGAGGTGAGTCACTAATGGACACACTTAAGTACCAAATCTTTCCTAGCCGTAACTTCCCTGCATAACAGCTTTCACACTACTACACCTTTTCCAAGAACGACTCTTTTCCGATGTGGAAGATCGGATTAAACCGCAACCACAAAGCATACTCAGAATTTTACCAACACTATTCTAGTGACTAGCGCAACGGAATAAGAACGTGGCTCTGATACCACTGTTAGGTATCAGACTACTTGCACAAGAACTCAACTAAAATAGAGAAGAGAAAAATTGAATAGCAATAATAAACAAAAGTGGAAATTTTATAATAGAAAGAAAAATTACATACCCCTTCTCTAGTCCTAAGAATGACAACACTTTCTAATACTTAGAGAAGGAAAGAAATTTTGGGATGTTGAAATAAGGAGGGAGGGGCTCCTTTTATAAGAAGGAGGAGAGCCCCCCAATTGAAGTTCCCACCGATGTGGGACTTCTTTCTTCACAGATGTGTGTTTGGATAAACAGCGTATTAAGCACTTTTTAATAATTATGTTTTAGTCTTGATTGTGGAAGCATGCTGAAATAGGATTAGAAAAAATTATTCTGATAAGCTTCACCATGAAGTGTGTTAAATTAGGTGGTTGAAAAGAAGCTTACAGAAAGGTTATAAGCCACTTTCTTAAGCCAAATAAGCTTTTCATAGATGATTTTAAACTCCTCCTAGATTAAAAATGAGTTTCATATAAATAAGAGCAGAAATACTATAACTTTTAGTCCCGGGACAGTTCCTATACTTCATAATAATTCCTTGTTAATCTGATGGTTTTACAAGGGCAAGATATGGTGAAAATAACATTAAATACACGAATGAATAACTCCTTCTGTATTGGATCCAAATTTACAATAAGTTTCACGCAGTGCAAAGGGTAAAAAATGCATTTTAACTTATTACTTCTATTATTGTTATAGCTGTGGGGAACCAAAGTGGGTCTATGTTTTTGTCTCCACATTTAGTCCATAGTCACTAGAAATTTGTATCTTAATTTCATGAATTTATCCTTAATAAGGGGCTTTCAGAACAGATTTGGTTGATAGAGTTTAATGCTTTAAAAAAGTGGATAATATTTGAACTCTTTTCTCAATGCTTTGGGATTTTGATGAGTTTCACCCTCACTATGTCTTCACAGCGGTGGACACTCTCCAGCAATGAAGAAACTTGAGCATTTTTCAGTCCAGAAGGTTACAGGGGATGGGCGGTGTCTATTTCGCGCACTGGTATCATTTTTTTGTACCTTTTGTTCTAATCACTTTTGTACTTTCTTGTTAGTGGAATTCAATATGATGTTTGCTCTGGCTATCAGGACGAAAAGTTTAAAAGAATTATGAGAAGGGAATCCAAATCAAAGTAATATAAAATTTAGATAATATTACCTAGACTACTCATATTAAGTTTGAGGTTATTGCTGAAGGACTCCTTGTCTTTAGTGCAGATAATATGTTTGGAATTGCCTGCAACTACACAATTAATCTGAAATCCTATCATACCCACAAACCTTTAACAGCAATGCCCAAGATACTGAATATACATCTATATTATTTCACTATTCTTCCGAAAGTATACAAGCACCAGGTCAAACAAAGATACCCCAATAGGAGCACTCTCCTTTTCACACCGGTAATATCCAGTACTAATTTTTCTCGAACCAAAAAAAAGTCCTGCCACATACAGCTGAGGACCTATTTATTATGTCCTCACTCGCTAGCTGAAATAACAACCTACCAGAGACACCAACTAATTACAATTTTAACCCTTTATTTTATTTTCTTCTAACATATACCTCTAAAGGTCTTTCTCATTCTCTATTGCCCCTATTAGTTCTAACATAATATAATTAGCCTTTAGATCTAGAAGGTTCTTTGTATGGCACTACTCTTCGATAATAGGTCTAGAAAAGTTGGATGGTGAATAATCAATAAGTCTGGATAGTGTCTTTATGGAACAGATCTTTATTTTTCTGTATTTGAAAGATTTTTTTCTTATAAATTGTATTTATATGAGTTGTAATGCCACATTCTTTTGACCATATAAATTTGCTAAATATAAACTGCTCAATCTCTTCATGAGTTTGAGCTTCCACCGTGCAAGTTTTTCATATTGATTTAGTTCGTAAGTACTAACATTTGATTCAATGACATAAGGTCAAAGGAATGGCTTACAATAAGGGAACAGTTCTCAATCAACGTGAGGAGAGAGAAAATGCAGGTATGCTGATATACTACTGGTGATATGCATGCTGATACCCTTACTGTTGTTTGTTTTGCTTTCCATTACAGAATTACATTATGTGAAACAGTTAGGGTATGATAGGTTTGGCTGCTTTTGCTATTAAACTGGGCTTCTTATCTTCTTACTAAGCTTATTTTTCATACCTTATGACCTTTTTTCTCCTTTCTCTTTGTTTTTCGTTTCTTGTCAATGTTTTGCCTTGTCGTGATGGCACAGATGAATTAAGAATGGCTGTGAAAGAAGTTCTATGTGAAAATGAAGGTGAACGCAATTTATATGAAGAAGCCCTGATTGCAATCACAGTTGATGAGCCTCTAAAACGGTATGTTTTGGAAGCATTAACAGAAAATGAAGATCTTGAACTATATTGTTATTTTATATTAAATGTCATAATTAAATGTGTCATTTTCCAGTTACTGCCAACGGATTGTCCGACCTGATTTCTGGGGAGGAGAATCAGAGCTACTGGTTAGTGCTCCCTTTATGCTTACCTCCTAAATATTGCAAGCTTTACTTTCTTATATCATTTATCTTATAAGGATAATACATTTCATAGCTGGCCCTATGACTTTATATCAGTTTAATTTAAATATTTCTTAGTGGATCTTCTAACTTTTAATTGTAATTTCAATGTCATTCACGTCTTTTTCTTTGCCCTTTTACTTTGTTGAGTTCTGGTCTCTGAGATCTTGCATAATGGATAAATTTATACTTTTCAGAGCAAAATGTATTTTAAAAATAACAGTTGAATGGCTTCAAATTGAAGTGGAAGTTAATGGACCCAGTGAAGAAATATTTCAGATATTGAAGTGTATTTTTCTGGCATCGACGAGTCAATGACTTTTGCCCACAAGGGTAATCAAATATTTCACCTCGAGTGTGTTTGCAGCTGGAGCTGGCAGGTTAATCAGAGATTGGAACCGATAAAGCTTTTATCTCATTAAGGAATGGGAAAATTTTACCGTCTTGAAATTAAATGATTCAAATTTTAGAGAACATACGTATTTTAGCTTGTGCATTGCACGAACATGTTTCTTTGTGTATAATCAATATTCATAATAAATATGTTTAATATATGTTGGATATTTAACCATTGAGAAAAGTTATATTATGAGTGTCTAAGAACCCCCCATTGAAAGTCATTGCTTCTTTTGAGAAGTTGGTCATAGTTCTTTAGGTTGAGTGTTTACAGCTGGATGCACAAACCCCGTGAATGAAATGTCAGATACTGACCAATGACAATATTCTGGCAGGTACTCTCAAAGTTATGTAAGCAGCCAATCATTGTGTACATACCAGAGCATGAGGTATAGCTTAAACAATTCTTCTTGGTTGACATTTATATATTTTATATGGGAAGGAAGAGCTTACAATTAGTATGCTCCGATCCTTCTGCTGGGTATAGTCATATTTCAAATGCTACAAGGTAGATAAATTTTTGGTTTAATAAGTTTCGGATCCCCAATATCTAACCCATTTTTGTTTTGAGTACTCAAATTTTGTTTTCTTCAAATTCGATAGTCAATTTTATATAAAAGATTGGCTTAAGTCCACGAAAATATATTTATTTATATTTTGTTCCTATATTATGTTAACTGATTCAAGTGAATCCTGAATTTTAGTTCCTTAACTTACTTTTAGCCACAAGATGACGTATCTTGTCAGAACAGGTGACAAAAAGGACTTGAGACATATCAATTCTTAATATTAGAGATCATGTGACACGTGTTTCAACTTATCAAACTCGTAAATAGTAGAACTAATAGTGATAACATCGGATACTTAGAACAAATTTCTTAATTTATTAGGTACCCAAATTTAAGAAGATTAGAAAAAATAGAGATTATGTGTATGAGTAATATGTCTAAGGCTAGATGAAGGTGGTCATAGACTTTTTGTTGCTAAAGTTTGTTGTTTGGGTTTGATTGGTTATAGACCTTGTATTTTGGAACTAAAATGCTTAGAGGTTATTTAGAATATTGGTGCATTTGTAATGATTAGCTGTTTTGTGTCTTTTTTTTTTTTAAATTGGTTCTTATGTGGTCTTAAACTAATTTATTGTCCAATTGCAAGTTTGTAACTTATAAAAGGAGTTGATTTGATAATATCATATTGAAAAAGACTGTCATTAGAAAAAAAAGGCATTTTGGTGCTAGAAAGCTCCTGCTATGCACATTTAATGCTAAATGTGCTGTTATATGAAGCTCTAGAGTAAAAAGATTGTACCCTTATAGCAAGCAAATAACTTCGTAATGCTCAATTTGGTATTGTATGTAGTTCTGTTCTGCGCTTGTAAAAATATTACCTGGGAGTGCTCAATTTGTTGAATATGATAGCATAATGACTGGATATAATGCTACTTGTAGGATATAAACGTTGAATGGACGTAATCATTGTTTAACATATGAAATTAAATTAAGGCCAGATCTTGGTATCCAAAGGCAGGATTTGCATTGATTAGAAACATTTCTAGGTTTAGTGATTATAAGGTTTTAAATTTCAGACTTAAAGCTTAGAAGGATGATGGCTGGGTTTAAAATAGACATGACGACTCAATGTTTGAAGCAGAAACAAAGTTGAAGGTTTATGTAGCTCCCTAGGTTTTGTGAAGCTAGAGTTATGAGACAGTAGAAGGCAGATGTATGCCTTTTTTGAGCATCCCGATTGGCACATCTGATGAGTACACTAGTGCAAAAAGGGGCTTTTACGTCAGGTATTTAGGGCTTTTTACGTCGTATTTAAGACTGACGTTAAAACGGGAGACGTAAATTTACGTCAGACCCTTTAGCCCGATGTAAATTTACGTCAGTTATCAAGACCCGACGTAATTTTGCGTTGCATATACCACTAAACAGACGTAAAAACTTTCGGAAATAAAAAAAAAAACAGCAAATTTACGTCGCATATACCATATGCGACGTAAATTTGTCGTTTTTTTTTTTAAATTGGGTTGATTCGCTTTTACAACTAAAACCTACAAATATATATTACAACCGGACAGATCCGTAGGTTCAATTTTCTTTAGCTAGTAAATTAAAAATATAATATTATATAATTCAAACTACATAATAAAACAATATAATACAAACATACAAACTAAAAGTTAATACAAACTAAGCTACCTAAACTACATAATACACACAATATAATATGAACAAGAACTTAAAAAATTATGTACTAGAATTGTTGAACAAAAAATTTTGCCCATTGTTCTCTAATTTGTGTAATATCATATTCTGGTAATGGAGATGGATCTTGAAATACCTGAAACATTAATTTGACTCTTGTAAACATGCAACATGAGTAAAGTTAAATAAACTTAACTAATGTTAAAAGCAATTACCTCCGTCCAAGAATCAATTATACCCGCACAAACTATGGCTCTCATCCAATATATAACATAGTAACCACATTCAAACGAGTTTGTTTGCTTATTACACTGAAATGATGAAAAAAAACATAATGTTATTTTCAAAATTTAAATACAAACAATAATTATGGTATTCACTTATATAAATAAGTTTCTAACCTTAGGATAAATGAACTGCAAAGTCTTTGTTCTAGGTTTTTCACTTAGAACATTAGTTCCGGATTCTAAGTGAAAAAAGTCATATATTATTCAATATGTATTTACAGCTTTAAAAACATAATTAATGAATAAAAGATAAAGTTGCCCTTGTAATAAGCTTTCCATTTCTTGACTCGGTTTCCGATGTAATGAACAAAACCACACCACAGTGTAATCCCGGGGTATGATTACAATTAACTGCCAATGAGACTTATATTATATGACATAAAAATTAGTTACAAAAATATAAATTAAAATACAAATTAAAATACTAACCCTTCAATGTATGGAGCCAAATATATATGTCTTTTTGAGTCACTGATCTATGTTTGCATATATTGTTGGATTCCAACCTTTGTATTTCCGCATTTTTGGATGGATTGAGGCTCAATAAATCCGTATACTTCGGATTTTTCTTGTTCCACACTCAATTTGTCAATGTACCTAAAACAATTAATTATAAGTTGAATATAATTATTATAATCTTAGAAACATAAATGAGAATGACTTACATTACCCACAATTGTATGATGGAAATGTTTAACATGCAATTTCCCCCAGCAATTTCTAAAGCATCGGGCAAGGAAATGTATAATGGAACACTGGAATTGTCAATAGTGTTTGGAATTGACAACTAAATAGAGCCGATATATAAGTACAAATAAATAAATAAATATAAATTAAGACTAACAAGTAACAAGTTATAAATAAATATAACGAACATATTATTATATAGACTTCATCCCACAATCATAATTAAAAATAAAATAATAAATATTATTTCTCTTATCTTAATAATTATAAATAATAGAGTACTGATATTTTGACACCCGATTTTAAACATCCATTCGACAACTGAATTAAAAAATATTAAATGCACAGTGTCACCGAATAAAAAATATTAAATGCACAGTGTTTTGGCAGGTTTCGTTGCTCGAGCGATGTAAATTTCGCTTGAGCGACGAAACTTTAGATAGCGGTTAATAACAACCGCTTTTAAAAAAACATATAATATAGCGGTTTGTGAGTGAACCGCTCACTAAAGTATGTTTTTGTTAGCGGTTCAGAAGTAACCGCTATCTAAAGTCATATTCTTTTTCATCTTTCCCTCCTACTTTCTTCATCCTCGCGCTCTTTCTGACTGCGTTTTTTTGCCGCTCTACGCTCTCATTCTCGCTCTCTGCGCTCTCATTCTCGCTCTCTGCGCTCTCATTCTCGCTCTTTGCGTCTTCTATTAAGCTTAAGGTACGTTCTTTGTATTTTCAATCTCTCTGATTCTCTTGCTCACATTCAAGCATATTACATTGTAATATATTTGTGTGTCGCCAAGTTCGCGTTTCAGTCTCCATTCGCCATTGTTGTTGTAGGCCGCGCTTATTGGGAGTTACTGCATTATATATTTTTAGGGTTTAGCGTTTAGATTTTGTCTACATTGTGATCTAAAATTGTGTTTTTTGGGTAGATAAACGATTGAACATTTACATTGACTATTTTCGTCTCCAAGTTCCGAACTTATATAACTTGCTATTATATTGTTGGCAATGGTAGGAATTGTATCCTTCATCGTTTATCTAGCATGGGAGATATAAATGAAAACAGAGATGTAGCTGTCAATGAAGGCATTTTGGCCGTGTATGATGACATAGATAGTGATGCGGATGTACAACAATGTGATGGTCCTCTCAAAGGTGTAGACCAAGAAATGATAGGTGTACATGATAAAATACCCAGTAATGCAGATGCCACAAGTTTACATGAAGAAGAAGTGTTGGTTGTGTTAGTATTATGGTGCTTGATTTAGTCCCACATCGATTAGGATTGTGAGATGAGGTTCTCTATTTTGTTATATAAGCAACCCTATGTAAAGTTTGAGATACACACAGAAATAAAAATTACTTCCTAGTGTAGTCGTGGACGTAGGCATACATATTTTAGCCGAACCACGTTAAAATTCTTGTGTCGTTTATTTTTCTCTCCTTCATTCTTTCCTTTATTATTGTCTTGTTCCTAACAATTGGTATCAAGAGCCAATTTTCTTAGTATGCTCTGTGGTTGCAGCTTTGTCTGATCTTCCACATCAGAAAAGATTTGGTCTTTTTTCTTGGGAATCTCAGTTTAGAGAAGCAGTGGGAGCTTTCTTCGAAAGCAGTGAGAGCAATGGCATTGGAAGAAGGAAAGGTGAGGATCGAGAAGTTCGATGGCAGTGACTTCGGGTTCTGGAAGATGCAGATGGAAGATTATCTGTATCAGAAGAAGTTGTATCTACCCTTGACAGGGCAGAAGCCAACCGACATGGAGCAGTCAGAATGGGAGTTGTTAGATCGGCAGACGCTTGGTGTGATCCGGCTGACATTAGCCAAGAATGTTGCGTTCAACATCATGAACGAAAAGACAACCGTAGATTTGATGCAGGCGTTGTCAAATATGTATGAGAAGCCCTCTGCAGCCAATAAAGTGCATTTGATTCGCAGGCTAGTCAACCTCAAAATGGGTGAAGGTAACTCGGTTACTAATCATATTAGTGAATTTAATGCAATTATTGCGCAGTTGACATCAGTGCAGTATAATATTTGATGATGAGGTGAAAGCATTAATTTTATTATCATCTCTACCGGAAAGTTGGGGTGCAACTCGTTATCGCGAGTAAGTAATTCCGCAAGCAATAACAAGTTGAAGCTTGATAACATCCGTGACTTGATCTTAAGCGAAGATGTTCGCAGGAAAAATTCAGTAGAATCTTTCAGTTCTAATTCAGGTTCAAGCATTGAGTACTGAAACTAGAGGAAGAAGTCGCCGTAAAGGTCGTAATCAAGGCCGAGGCAGATCAAAATCCGGAGGGAGATCACAAGCAAAAGTCCGGAATGATATCACTTGTTGGAATTGTCGAAAAAGGGCCACTTTTCAAATCAGTGTAGGGCTCCAAAGAAGGACAACAACAACAACAAGAAGCAAGATGATGATCAATCAACAAATGCAACGAATCGATGAAGTTGAAGATGCACTCGTTATGTAGTTTAGATAATTCTATTGACTCATGGATTATGGACTCGAGGTGCGTCATTTCATACTACACCTTCCTTAGAACTATTATCTAACTATGTTTCGGAAAGTTTGGGAAGGTCTACCTTGCAGATGGAAAATCTCTTGATATCATAGGAAGAGGTGATATTAACATCGTAACCTCTAATGGAAACGTGTGGACTTTGAATAATGTCGACATATTCCAACCTTAAAGAGAAACTTAATATCTATAGGGCAGTTGGATGATGAGGGACATTACACCACTTTTGGAGATGGACATTGGAAGGTAATGAAAGGTAATCTTGTTGTTGCTCGTGGAAAGAAGCAAGGATCTCTCTACATGATTGCAGATGAGGATATGATATCAGTTGCAGAAGTTGGCAACAATTCCTCCTTATGGCATCAGAGGCTTGGGCATATGAGTGAGAAAGGAATGAAGCTCATGATATCAAAAGGTAAAATACCTAACGTGAAGCATGTTGACGTTGGACCTTGCGAACATTGTATCTTTGGAAAGCAGAAAAAGGTTAGCTTCTCAAAAACAAGTAAGTCGTCTAAAGTTGAAAGACTAGAACTAGTGCATACAGATGTTTGGGGGCCAGCTTCAGTGAAATCCCTTGGAGGTTCACAATATTATGTAACCTTCATTGATGACTCTACAAGAAAGGTATGGGTTTATTTTCTAAAAAATAAATCTGATGTGTTTTCTGTGTTTAAAAGGTGGAAAAAGGAGGTTGAGACTCAAACAGGTTTAAAGGTCAAATGTTTGAAGTCTGATGTATGC